TTTTATAAATATCAATAAATATTCAATCTTAACTTTACTTAATGAAAGTTTAAGAAAAAATCCTAAAAAAGTGAAAATTATTTGTAATTATAATAAATATAATAGATTATTATTATATATTTTTTTTTAACCTGCAATTATACCATTATAGTATATCTTTATTAAGATATTAAAAGATATTATAATGTTTACAGACTTTTACAAAGCAACTAACTTGTTATTGTACATTATTAGTTAAAGGACTATACTACTTAAAAATTATAAGAAGTTCACTAAGCTAGTTTGGACTAAACAAAACTAAGTCTAAACTAGGTACTTCAAGTCAGATTTAAAGAACAATATTATACTCTCCTAGTAGCTTGGCATGAAGTCTCTAAGTCATCTAGGATCATTGCCAATAGTTTGTTACTGTTGATTATTCTAAAAAATGATAAATTGCTAAAGTTGATACTGGAAAAAAAAAGAGAAAAAGAAATATAATTCAAAGCTCTTTAAAAGGTTCTTGTTTTATTTTATAATTTTCTCTCAAAAAAAATTTACCTGATTGGGATATTCTTTAAGCTTCATAATATTTAAGGAACTTAACCATTCCTGAAAATGACTTTAAGAAAACTGTTTAAGGAACTTATCCTTCTACCAATATATGTATTTGTTTAATGCTATTGAAACCAGTATTATATTATGGAAGAGTTTACCTAATCAGGATAAAAAAATCTTTTCAAGAACTTTGCTTGATCAGAATAGAAGCTTGGAGACCTCGGCTTTTATCTAAAAAAGCATTTTCACTATCTGAGGAACTTAATAAAAGATAGAAGTTGAATCTTCTATTTCTATCTATCACTTATCTTTCGATTTTATAATTGTTTCCTGAAGATTGAATATATATAATTGAAAGAAATACTTTTTTTAGAACTTTTTTTCTACATCACCAATGATGCATCAAAACACGTGAGTATGACCAATAGAAGCTTGTTTAAATTCTAAAAACTGATATGTTTCATATTAACCAATTATCTTTGATGAGAATTTGTGCTACACAAAATTCAAGGTTAAACTGAGGTAGGCAAAATTCTCCAAAAAACCATAAACATGAGAGCTCTAAAAGAGCCAAGACAGTCAAAAAGGAAGAAATAAGCCTTTTTATTGTAGAAAATCTCTACAAGTCTTTCACTTCAAAGGTTAGAAAGATTTTTAGATACTTCAAACTCAGTTCTTCTTTCTTTGAAAACTTTCTTGCCATTGATATCAAAGGTGTTACTTGACTTTTCTTAGTCACTAGAAGTCAAGTTTTTAAGTAAAAAGATTTGCAGACAATAGAAGAAGAATAAAAGTGACTCTTGAAGTCAAACTTCAAGTTGTTTTAAGAAAAATATTAAGACTTTATTAGCAAGAAAGTTTAAAAACTTCTTGTGAATATCTTTTATGTGTGTGGTTAAAAAATCAGTGAAAAAAGTTTAAAAATTCAATTAATAAATACAATAGATTATTGATTAATCCATGAACAAAATTTCTTATAGATATTTAAAATCAAAAAGCAAAAATTTGACTAATAAAAAATTTATGTTTTAACACAGAATATGAAATATTTTATTAAGTCAAATTATATTATTAAGTAAAAATTAATAAAATTTAAGATTGAATAAGACAAGTTTTAAAAATAATAAATCTAAAGTTAATAATAATGAAGAAATAAATAATATATTTGAAAATTGGGGTTTTTTTTAAATCCATAATTATTCCACAATAGCTTGTTTTTATTAAGAAATTAAAATAAAATCTACAATAATTTATAGACTTTTATAAAGTAATTAACTTGTTTTCATATATAAGTACTTTAAATCAGATTTTAAAAACAATATTATACTTCTTTGATAGATTGATAATGATTTCTATCTATCAGGATTATTGCCAATAGTTTTTCACTATTAATTATCTAAAAACTAATAAATTGCTAAGTTAAAAAGAGAAAAGAGAACAATTCAAGACCCATAAAAAAAACTCAAAAATAAAAATAACCTCTTCTTAAAAGAAATTTACTTGATTAGAATAGTTTTCTTGCTTTATTTAAATCTCAAAAGTAATCTTCTTTTTCATTACTTGTGATATCAGACAAGTTAATCCAATCTTATTTAAGTGAGCACCAGATTGGTATATCTCAAGAAAAGTATTTTGACCTTAGTTTTTTTTTATTAAAGCTTTATTCCTATTTGAAGAACTTAAGTAAAAAATAGAAGTTTGCAATTTATATTATTTATTATTTAATCTTTAATGTTATGGAAGTCTTTATTAAGAGATTTTGACTTTTGGACAGATGTTTTTGGAACATTTTTTTTTTTAATTACCAATGATATTATTAAAACATATAAATGTGATCAATAAGAGTTTGTTTATATTTTAAAAACCAATGTATTTTATGCCAGTCAATTATCTTTGATGAGGATTTATACTACTTAAAATTCAGGATCAAATTGAAATAGATAAAATTTCTTAGAAAATTATAAAAGTAGAAACTCTAAGAGAATTAAAACAGTTAAAAAGGGAGAAAATAATCCTTTTTACTATAGAAAACTTCTATAAATCTCTTACTTTAAAGATCAGATAAACCTTCAGATACTTTACAGTCAGTTTTTTTTCCTTTGGAAACTTTCATCAAAGGTATTATTTGACTTTTTTTTATCACCAAGAGTTAAGTTTTTGAGTAAAAAAGTTTGTAAACAAAAGGGAAAGAATAAAAATGACTCTTGAAGTCATACTTCAAGTTGTTTTAAAGAAAGTATTAAGACTTTATTAGCAAAGAAATGTAAAAACTTCCTGCAAATTATCTTTTTTGTATATGATTCAGAAGTCAAATAAAAAGAATGAGATAATAACAATTCATTCTTTTAAATTGTCTTGAAAATAGGGATAAAACTTTATCAGTTAAAAAGCCAAAAAACTTATGTGAATATCTTTTTGCGTATAATCAAAGAATTAGCAAAAAAAAAGAGTATTTTGTAATAATGAATGTCCCATATCTTTTATTTTTGACAAATTGCTTGGTTACTTTGGCACGTGACACAATTCTAGACACGACATTCGAGCTGTCGACAATTCTAATAACTCGTGCACCACACCGTATTGAAGTACAATGCCTTTAAGAAAACGTGCGTGAGACTGTCTCAAGAAAGTTGATAAACGTAGAGTGCCTCGAAGAACGAGAAAATCGCATTAAATGTCACGTGAAACTTTCCAAGAACCGTTCATTTCTTCTTTTCTCTACCAACGTATTTGATAACTTGCTTTTTCTTTCCTTCTTTTTGGCATAATAGATGATAAGGGTGATAGGAAAAAAAAGTGTATCACAAATGAAATGCATTCCAAAATAAATTAAAAATTTTGCCACTTGATCAAAATTAGTAATTCTTTCTTAGTAAGCTGGTTTAAATGTAAATAAACTGGTGAAAAAAAAAAAAAAAATGCTTTTCTCTTCCTTAGTCTTTTGTCCCTTCTTTTTCACACCTCGACACTTCACAAAGGGTATTTATCGTATATCTGACGCATACATAGTACATTGAAGGTCACGAGCATTAGTGCAACAATTCTCGGACGAAGCGCGCTTCCATATTTAATTTCAGCGTCTTTTGTAACATTATATTGCAGTAATAAGAATTCATTTCTTCCTTACGTGGTTTACTTTGATAGGTTTTTTTTGACAGCGAAGGCCCGGCCGGGGTATTCAAGTAGAGACGCTATTCCTTTGAAAAACCAAAGAACATAAAGATCACGTGAAAACCACACCGAGTCTGTTTCCAAAAATGTAACCATCTCATGCCACTGGCATGGCCGGTAAATTATTTTTAGTTTATTTACAGGTAACGGAGATTTCATCTCCCGGTGACGAAATTTTACACATTAAAAAATTATTATAACAATTATTAAAACTAATTAATCTTCCTCATCTACTTCACTCCTCCCAAGTCAGTCTAATATTCTGGCCGCATTTGCCAACCATGACTCGATTGGGGGCGGTGATACCCTGACTGTAAATGAGGCTGATATTGAGATGAGTGAGGTTGCCCACCATGATACCCGCTGTGCCTTGAGGGACCAGGAATTCCGTATTCCGTGTTAAAATGTGAATTCACTGGCGGGTATCCCGTTGCTTGTGGACGCGGTGGCGGTTGTTGAGGTCGCAGTTGTGCTTGCAATTGTGGATGTACCTGCGAATGGGGCTGTGAGGATGATTGTACTTGTGAGTGATAATGTGGCGCTTGGATTTGTGAATTTGGTTGTTGAAATGGTTGCGGTGGTGGTGGTGCATGAATTTGTGAGAGTGTTTGATGAAGTCGTGGTCGCGCTTGGGATTGTGGTAGTGGTGGCGGTCCCATTACCGTTGGTCGAGCAACAGCAGGAGTTAGTTGAGTAGATTCCGAAGGTCGGATCACATTTGGTGGATTATCAAAAGCTTCGCGGGACACTTCATTTGAGGGATACGCGCGGCAATTGTTGGGCGGAAGCATCCCTCTAAATGCCGACTCACGTATGGGCAAATTAGTCATGGCTTTTTCTATGGAACCAGGGTGAACTAGTTTAGATGGTGGAACAACGGATATCATTTCCGCGAGTCGTTTTCGTAGCTTCATGCCTACTCGTTACAAAGGAAAGGGAGAAATAGAATGAAACCGATGAAATACTTCTCAATTGAGAAATACAATTTACCTTGACGGCTTACCAAGATTTCTCTCTTCCGAAGTTATAACATCAGGATTTGTTGTAAATCTTTTGTTTTGCAATCTTTGCAATTCCAAAAACATTTTTACATTCTTATCCAACTTTTTGTCCGACAAAGGATTATTATTGTCCTCGTCTTCCAACGATTCATATATCATTTCGATGTCGATATCTCCGAAAAGCTCATCCATGGTAATATCCGAATCATTCAACTGATCAACGAGTTCGTTGGATGTCGTCGCACTCTCGTTCTCCAAGTTATCATGGTCAGTTTCAGTCAACATTTCGGCATCTTTTTCTGCATCATTCTCCTCGTCCTCTGTCACCTTCTTCGCTTTTTTATATGCATACACCATCATCGTATCTTCATAGGACAAATATGAACCCTTCGAATTGTATATCGGGGAAAACGATCCATAAGGTTTATACGGGTTAAATTTAACTAAATTTGATGAAACGATTAACCGAACGATCACACCCACGTTTGCCAAGAAAGTCGATTGAAGTAATCAGAAAGACACGCGTACCTCCGGGGACGACGAGATCTTGAGATAATTCGGATTCTGGTTTCTTGATCTTTTGGGGAAAGAGGGCACCGAGGGAAGGAATGTCATTCATTGATTGTTGGGGAATCACCGCCACGTCTTTTGCGTCACCAACTTTTGCGCATAAAACAGTGTCAACACGTACGTGCGTCTAATATAAAAGAAAAGGGAAAGAACGAATTGGAAGGATGATCGCATACCTAATTTAAATTTTTGATTATCCAAGATTGACTGCTTCAGTATCCCACTTGAGAAGACGTGCCCATTGGTTGTTGGTTGGACAAGAGCAATCTTCTGAGACCTCTTAGGGACTATAAATTATCCATGTTCAAAATTGATCACAACAAATTGACCTGGTTCCACAATTTATATTTAATGCTTACGTGTATTGTCATTATTATTATTACTATTATTTACTACTTCACCGACGCCTGGATGTCGTTTGACACTCGGAACCTCTTTAACAGCCTGTTCAATTAACCGAGATCCGAACCTAATAAACTGCCTTCCAAAGTCGTAGCTTTGTGGGTTTTTGAACATTGCATCATTAATGATGGAGACAAAGTCATGCTACGTGAGAGATTAAGGATGAGATTAACAATCTTCGATGTTTTCCGTGGGGTTGATTTTTTTATCTTCAAAGTCAACTCGTTACCTGAAATCCTTTCAAGGAATTATATTGATTGCTTTCGATCTTAGCACGTATAATGGTGGAATTCAGCGCTTGACCTTCGGCATTTGTGCCGAGAGCTTGTCCATCCCTGCCGTTTCTCAGAAATTGGTGTGCGTCGCGGCTGGAGAGGTCAAATTGAAGTTTATTAAAGTGCCATCTAATACCAACATTGGTCCAATTGATACTCACGATTCCAAGATATCCATAATTTTGGATAATAAAACCTTGAACTCGTGGGCATCCACTTTCTCCTGTTCCACCCTCTGATCGTACTCATTTGTAATTTTCTCATTGTCGAGTTTATTATCATGAATATCGTTGCCTCGAGTTATCTTGTCTTTTCCGCCGTTCGTTGGGAGTGACTTCGGACGGGTTCGGACGGAGATGAGGTCTTCCATTTTTGTGTTTTTCGAGGATATCTTGCAATTACCGTCACCGTTTTCCATATTAAATTTCGACTTCAGGTGATTTCCAACACCGTTCGAATTGAGGGTACCATTCCGAGAGAACTCTTGTGACATGTGATTTTGCACCACCGGTTGAACGTTGTCTAGTTGCATCTCATCACCGGTCGAGTCGCTGTGGCCACCATCATTTTCCCCTATATCATTCGTCGAAATGAGGTTGTTATCCTCTGGTTTACGAAAGGTCTCGTCACCCTCGACAACGATATTTTCGTCTTCCGTGCTATCGTTGGACAACAACTTGGCACGTTTAGTGGGTTGCGAGTGAGGGTCATTCTTCGAGCCGGTATGTGTCGAAGGATCGGTTTGTTGCTTTGAGGAGTTAGTGGTGGAGTCAGCAGGTGAGGAATAACTAATACTCGACATTTCTAAAGTAAGAATTTCATATTCGGAAGCTCGTTTCCGCTTCGTTTCGGACACTAAATCGTTCTGAGTAGAAGTCGTCATGGCGTCAAACTCAGAATCTTGGCGCCGTTTGGAGCGTGTGGTTACCCGGGGTTTGGGGGCAGATCTGGTAGCCTCGACAGGTGTCGGAGCTAAAATGGGTGAGAGGGTTTGTGAAGTGCGGTTAAGATTAACAGGAAATGTTTTTCACGCGAATCAACTCTTTATAACGTGTATTCCTTCGCACACAGGCGGAATCGCGAATATGAAAGTGAGCAGAAATAGTGTTTGCATTTCACAAATGACTTACAAGTTCTCCGGGAATTGCGTCGTTGTTGCTTTACCATATTGTTTAATTTATATTGTCGAACGTAATATTTGAGGTGTCGGGTTCTATGGTTGCTTTAATTAAATGTGCATGGAATGGGTTGGTCAAAAATTTTAATGAGAAAGTCGGGTTCACTTGAATAGGATGTGAGTGTAACTTTACAGGGAAATGTTTAATGAATTTCCCGGACACGGATAACGTCAGTTGAAAAAAATGCCTCTTGAAAATTGAGTGACTTAGAATTCTGTGCCAAATTTATTCCCTTCACCGGAAGAATGAGTGGATGATCAAAATAATAGTGATAGTCCCAGCCCGTTAAGTTTGTACCACGATTGTCATACGTTTTAGGCAAACATTGGGGCCATCATTTCATTGGAGATCAACGTGATCTCTATTTAAAGTACGGCACTTACACGCACGTGCGCTTCAACCGGATCCTTGATTTTTTTTTTTTTTTTTTTTCTCGATTGCGAACAAGGATTCGGGGGAGGCGTCATTGTGAGATTACAATTCTCTGTCAAAGAAAGAATAAAGCTAAAGCACATTCCAAGGTTCTCAAGTTTCCTTGGAAAAAAACTCGTTAACCTGCTGCCTTCAAAATTGACGGATGGCTGAACATGATTGCACAGGCGACCTACGAAAAATTGTGTTATACGGTGGGGCGGAGACACGCATTTGGGGTGTGGTGATTACAAATCTTTCGATCAGCATACGCGTACACGCTCGATGTATACGTAACTCGTGTTTTAATTACGGCTTATGAGTTAGTTGGTGACAGGCTCGCGGTTGATTTTCCGGGGATTGGCAGTTAAACTCTTTCCAATTTGTTAAATTTGAATAAAAATCCTGCGACCATCGGACCATAAATTGGGTAAGGAAATAAATTCACGCAAACAGGATGATATTAACCTTTCTGACGAAAGAAAAATGAGAGATCAGATTTTCTCCCGAGCGAGCATTCCAGTGGTGAAGCTTCGTAATAAAGAATGACCTGGATTGCATCGCAGTAGCACGAACGAACGCCCAGGCGCACTAAATCACCATTTTCTCATTTACTTGGGACGGACAGTCGGACGTTTTATCACGTATAAGAGTCAACACTACTCGATACCTTGGCGTTCCATCGTTAATCCCAAGAAATTACAATGGACCTTTTTTTATGTAATATCTGCATGCTATCGAGCAATCAGCCAATCAACGACGGTCGACTGGACTTATATTTACGCAATCAAATCCACGACGAATAACGACAAAACAAATGACACAAGAACCCAAGAAACTAGGTACCTTGCACAATCCGTATGGTGACCTTATGATAAAAATGTAGATTCTTAAAATAATTTTTTTTTGTTTTTATGAATATTCAAAGTTTTCGTGACCGGCAACAAAAAGAAACTCGAAGAAGTTCAAGACATTCTTGGAACCTTTGTTGACCTAACCAGCCATAAACTTGATTGTAGTTTTCGTGTTTCCTAATTCTTAAACTCTTTGTCGCGCGAGGACATATTAAGTTCGACAAACAACGAAAACTCTTTTTACGTGCATGATAGTAACCGAAATACAAGGTACAAGCCGTGAAGTATCAGCCGACAAATGTCGACGGGCTTCAATAGAGGTAGATGAGAATCGAGATATTTTGACTTTCGATAAGCTATTGACCTGACGGTGAACGGATTATAGCTGAACGGACCTGTCATCACTGAGGACACGTGTCTATGCTTCAATGCGTTGCAGGGCCTGCCAGGACCGTACATGTGGGTTGACATGTATTCCCTCGTTTTCACATCGAGAAATTGTGATAACACTTGATCTTTTTATTTCACGCAGAAAATGGTTTCTGGATAAATTAGGACACGACGGTATGTTACGAATGAATATGAATTGTTCTCACACACTCGTACACTCTCCCACTCACGCTCGCGCTCACATTGCCGCAGGTTTAAATCGATTGTTGGCCGGATTTGAGGACAAGTCCGCCTATGCGCTGTGCACTTTTGCATACTCGACCGGACCTGGCACAGAACCGATGCTGTTTGAAGGCCGAACCGACGTAAATGTCTTTAATGCTGTGATCATATGGTGGCGAACGCTAATCATTATTCATGCTCGGTTCAAAGGGAAGGATCGTTTCACCACGCGGTCCAACCGATTTTGGATGGGACCCGATTTTTCAACCGGATGGCTTCGACCAAACGTGAATTACTCACCTTTCCTATAAACCGAAACCTGGCATTTTCACCCTGAAAATTCGTTTAAAATTCTCTTGCGTTGCGTGTATTTTTTAACTAACACAGGTATGCCGAGATGCCCAAGTCGATTAAGAACAAAATATCACACCGACACAAGGCACTGGAGAAATTGAAAACATTTCTCGCAAGTGATTCCTGAGAGAGGCAGGTGACAATTTTGGCGTGACTCTTTGTTTATTGTTTACAATTCCCTCGTCACGCCGTTTGTTTAATAGTATTCCGTGCTATTCCTCCTGACAGGACCAAAATATTTACTGCAACTTTTAAAAATACTTTCGTTGTGTTCTGCTATGGCAAGGGATTTCCGCATATTACGTAAGTACTAGTCGATTCGCCCTTTTTCCGTTTTTGTCAACATTTTGTCACATGATGTTTCTCTTTGATTCCCCTTAATCCAGAACGGAACACGTTATTCAATAAATCACTCGGTGCCATCTTTTAATAATTGCAATTTCAAAAATAAAAATAAAAATACTGTATTTTCCTTGGTGCCGTGATAATCTGTTCATTAATATATGTACGCACGCACGCGCGCACGTGCATATGTACATGCGTGCGAGTTACGTCACACATCATTTATTAAGTTTGTGCGATCCCCCCTGAAAAGTATTTCCTGATTTGATAAACGATTGGTCTAAGTGAATTTGAACCGTACTACCTCGACTGAAATTTAAATTGAACCGCTTGAAACTGCACTTTCTCGTACGAAATTAAAACCTAGTCGTCACAAGACAACAACATTCGGTAAGTATGCAGGAAGCTGCTCTTCCGTCACAGGAGAAACCTAAACGAAATAGTCATATTTAAAGGAAATCTTAATTTTCGGAGATATGAGTGAATAAATCTCTCTTCTATCAAAATATACTCACCTATTACCATTTCAAAACTTGCCATTTACTTTTAGCAAGACGAGTGATCCTCATTCAAAGGCGTAAAACATATTTACAAAAAAAAAAAAAAAAAAAAAAAAAAAAAAAATTAAATAATTTTGATCAATCAGGTTAGATGACCCCTCGATCTTGAAGAATTTCCCTTTAAAAATTTAAGTCCTCTTTAATTTAGACCAGGAATAATTTCACATTCCAGAATGTCCCTTTACTCCACAGATCAGATTAACGAATTTAATAGCAACAATTATGTTCAGGTCAAGCCGAACAAAATGATACGTGCTGAACTTCTACAAAAAAAAATCGCGCAGCAAAAGAATCCACAATATATTCGAACAAAGCCCAATAAGATAGTTCGAACCAGGCCTTTTCAGTCAGCTATCAATGTAGCCGCTGGGTCTGATAGAGCCTCACCCGTAACTGTTTCTATCAAAATAGATAAAGCTTCATCCGTCACTGCTCCCATTCAAGCGGACAACGATAAAGTCCCATCGGCTATTAGAAAACCCTCCTCTCCCGTTGTCAGTTCGACGAGAGACTGTTCGAGCCATCTTCGGCCACGCTTAATCCCGCTCAGACCTCGCATAAAACCCAATAATAAATACACCCGACCAGACATAGATAAAAAGAAGATCGAGAAAGAGGACAGCTCAAGGTAAGTTTTATTAACGTCTTTGTGATATGGTGCATTTTTTCAAGTTGAACATTGGGTTCCGAGGAGCATACTATGATTGCATAATGCGAGAAAATGTGCAACATGTTCTCCGTGTTGAGATAGATTAGGATCTTTATATTGTGTTATCAACCTTTTAGTCGGCAAGCACCCACTCCACCATTCAAGACTAGACTGATTAATCAGTATTGCAGATACTTTCATAAGTGCGGTAAGTGGTTTTAAGCCATTTAAATTCGGTCATATTTCTCTTTGTGCAAAAAACTTGCAAAATGTTTAGATTATCAGGCAATTCGGGCTTGGCTTCGCTATTACAAATTGCCACTCGAACGATCGGATCTTGCCACGACACGAACTTATTGCAATTTTTCACTTGATACATTACTAACCCATCTCTTCTGGTTCTAATTTTTTTTTTTTTATCCTTTCGGTGTCTAACTCTTTTCATTCTATCTATTTAGGAAGATGTAAAGATGGCGGCAAATGTCCTTACAAACACGACCCAGCTCGTGTTGCTGTATGTAAAGCGTGGCTGAGTGGTGAGAAATGTAAGATGGGGGATAAATGCCCACTGCAACATGAAGAATCCCCTCATGTAGTCCCTCATTGTCGACACTTCAATCACGGATTGTGTATCAATCCTAAATGCCATTATACGCACGTGCACGTCAACTCCAGAGCCCCTTATTGCCAATACTTCGATAAGGATAAATATTGTCCATTGGGAGAGGAATGCAAACTAAAACATGAATGGCGCCTCGCTAATTTTGATGAGGATGAGAATGAGCAGACAAATGCATCATCATCTGATAGCAACGAACTTGGAAAACGTAAGCGGGAGGATGATTTAAAGAGGAAAATTAGGATCAGACAACCTGGAGAGGACATAGACCCATTCAAAGCGCAATTCGACTACATCTCATTAGAAAATTACCCTACTGATCCTAAATAGGCCGCTAATGGGAGACGATATAACAGGGAGTCATTATTTTTATATATATATATTTTTTTTTCATCGTTCATTTTTTTTTTTTTTTTTTCCTTTGATCACGGAAAAAAATAAGTAGGTCGAACCATTGGTTTTCTATTAAAGAAAACGAGAAAGAGTGAGCAAAAGAAAAAAACATAAACATAATTTGTATGAACAAAATTGTAAATAATTTTAATAAAAATTTAATAAAAAAGAATGTTTAAAAGAAGTGTAAATTTGATTTGCTTTAAAAGTGACTAAATTTTGGTATTTATGCAGAATAAAAGAGTACTTTAAGGGCTTGGTGAATAGAATAAATTTCAAAACCAAGTAATAGCATTTACAAATGATGATATAAAGTTATAAATGGTATATAATTCGCAAAAAAATAAAATAAAGAAATTAGAAATAAATATTTGTAATATGGATTTTTTTAAAGTAATAAAATTATCGATTGAAAATTTGTACTATCAAAAATTCAGGATCAAACTGAGGTAGGTAAAATTCTCTAGAAAATCATGAAAACAATAGC